TTTATATTTATTTATTTTAAAAGAATAAATTGATAAGAAACATTTTTTTTTTTTTTTGATGTTATTCTCGTAGATTGATGCAATTATTGTTAATACAATGAAAATATTTCATCACCGATCTGACTGCTTCGATATAATCTCCAAGAAGATTCCTGATCGTAACAAGAGACAGATAATTTTCCGGCAAGTTTAATTTTTTTTTTTTTTACGAATTAATTTTTATTAAATTTAAATTATTTTTTTTTTTTATAATTTAGCTGGAGAAACACTCTCGATCCACGCTGTAAGTATATTCAGTAATTTAAAAAGCGAAAAAATTATAAATTAACAAATGTGTATGTTTCTTTTATTAGTGTGTGGCGATTCGTTAACTTTACAAGAGAAAAATTTTATCGATAATGAAATATTTGTGTATCTTAATTGTAATAAAATTATAAATTGGAGGAAAATAATTGAAAACGTTGAAAGACACTTTGGAAGACGTCACGGTGATCGTAAACTCAAGTATTACTGGTTTAAGGTAAAAAAATACCAAAGGGAAATCACTGGGGTGTCCAAGGAACCTATGTTTGCTCCGACTTTTAACAACAATCCGTTCAAAATGCATCCGATATTTTAATACTTTTATAGTGATTATTTATCAGAGAATTTTTATATGTTTTGTTTTCTATGCGTACGTTTTTTTTTATACATTTCTTTATTTTCATTTTTAAGGTCAATTTTTTTCATTCTTTTTTTTTTTGATGATTCTTATGTTTTTATACACTTTTTATATCGACTGGATTATTGTATTAAGAGTTGATTAGATACGATTTCCTTTTTAAATTTTTTAAATAAATATTATAAGAACACATTTAAAAAAATGGTTATTGTTTTATCGTCAAATTTGATTAATTTTTATAAAAGGGTTAAAAATACTTTGATTAATTGTGAAATTTGTATCACATGATTAATATTCTTAACGTTGGCCAAATACTTATAATGTTGGTTGAGTCCCATATATTGTTACCTATACATATATTTGCTCGGTGTTCTATTGTACGCTTGAATATTGAGTGATCCAATTTTAATGTAGTCGTTTTTGTAATGATAAGGTAGTAATGTTGGAAGATTAGGATTCTGATTTAAATCGATAGATAAGGTAGCGTGATTAAGGGCATTATGTCATCAAATATCAAACGTGGAATTATTTAAGAGTAACATAAAAAATCTTTCTATTTGTTGCACTCATCATGAAAGATATGCATATAAGTATTGGATGTGAAAAATAAACCAAATTTGGATTAAAACGATAATGGGGTATCCGTAATGTAATAAAGCCAGAAGTGTCATATTAGTTTATCTATTTAAATTCAACATGGAAGAGTAATTTGCTTCATTCATATTGGGTGTATCATCAGTCGTAAATTGTTGGCAGGTTAATTTCTCTGCTCAATTTTATTAAAAATTTGTTTAAGTATGGCTTTAACTTTTTAAAATTTTTAACGTGGAGTTGGCCGTACATATGGTTTAAAATGAGATGTGGATTGGTTGTACCTTACCTTTTACCATACTTAACAAGAAAAAAATAAAAAAAAAGAAAGGCAAGAAGGAATAAGAAAGGAGAGAGGAGTTAAAGAGAATAAAGAGAAAAAAATGCCTATTTTAATCATGTATTACATTAACCATGATGAGTCATATTATAAACATATGAACTCTCACGTAAATCTTGTATATGATGTCAAAATTTTATATACTATTTCAGTATTTACAGTGGATATCATTACATCATTACTAACAAATTAACCGCGAAAAATCCCATTTTGCGTAACTTAATTATTGTCCGAAGGACACTTGTCTGTGTGACAATAAATATCATATGTGATTTTGTTACATCACGCGTGTTAATACTTTTTATTATACATTAATGATGTGATTATAACGCTTCAGACGTTCCAACTTCCAACAGATTCTGTTACCTAGTCTGTATACTAGACTAAAAAAATGATTTTTTTCATTTTAAATCTATATTTAATAATTTTATTTACTTTTCGCACATAAACGCAGTATAATCCTCCTTTTATTCTGTTCATCCCTGTTTTGAAACCCTGATCTCTTTGTTGCATCATCATTATCTTACCACTATACCAGGGCTACGTGTCTTTGCAAGTTGCAGGCAGTTCGTCATTTGTACTTATCATTTGTCCCGCTGTCCGTGGGTCCGTGGGTACGTCTCAGCAGAAATTTTCCAAGGAAAGCATAAATGGGATATGGTAAGAAAACATTTTTTTGATTGACAGTAACTATAGGGAAATTTTATAGATGTAAAAGAGATTGTATCTTAGTATGAAATGAGTATCAAACATTGTGAAGGAATTGCTATTGCCTCTTCTTTATTGTTTTATTACTAACATTCTTATCAAGCACACAACTTGTTAGATTTATTAATGACGAGATTAACGGTCAGAAATAAATCTATGTGGTTTACTTCTTGGAAAGTACAACCAAATTGATCAAGGTAAGTCTATTTAAAAATCATTGCCGAGGCTCGCATTGATATTTATAAAATAAATATTTGAGACAAAAATTTCATTACGTAGTTAATTGTCCAAAGTGAAGCGTAGAACATTGTACTTGGTTAAAAAATTGATCAGTCACGAGATCTTTCCGTTTGTCACGCTGCCGTCACCACGTCATTTCTGATTGGAAAAATGACCCCTGATCACACTCCGGACTCCTAATAATGGTTTTCCATTCCCTAGTTATTATAACAATAATAATTCTTTAACTTTATTTTTATTGCAATTTTAAACTTTTAATTATTTATTTAATCAATAATGTAGGTAATATATAAAAAATCATTACAACTTGGAATTCTACCTAATAATATCACTATTTGCTTTTTCATCATAAAAACAAATGGTAATCAATTAAAATTAATTCACCTAGTTTTAACTTTTAAGAAATTCAATGTTAAACAGAATTTTAAATTATAATAACTCATTTATTTTAAAAATAATATTTATATAAATTTAGTATTCTAAGAGATCATTGGAGTTACCAATTTTTTTTTTTTACAATAAAAAAAATTTTCATTTTATGAAGCTAATTATTTCCTGTATCACTTAGAATAAAAACATTGAATAACTGAACCTTTTGGCTTTTTGCCATTCATTACTAATGAGAGTTCTGGAATACAATAATTTGTTGGCAAGAGATTTTTTACAATTGCCTGAAGTACAGAAGACATTTGTGACCTAGTTAATAAAGTGATTTTTAGATAAAATAGTCTTTCATTGATGGTATATGGATAGGGCTCGAAAGTCCTGCAGAATTGGGACTGTATCCATATGCAGCAAACATAAAGGTTTATCCCTTGAAAGCACAATTTAATGGTATCCCAAAAATCAGCTGCACTTCCTGCATACTTCTTGCTCACATCAGCTTGGTTTTGTTTCCCATTCTTATAGATCAACTGGATTTCGTCAATTATTAAAACAGTTTGAATCTTTTCATACTGTCCTTATGCTGAAGCAACAAGAAATACATTATCAACTACTTTTCACACTAATTTATATTTGTTTTGTTTTAGGATTCAGCTTTGTTTCTTCCAGTATTCTAATATATGGTAATTAGTAAATATAATTTAATAATATCATAAATGCAAAAAGAAATAATATTATGAAATTTTCATATTTACCAGTAGATAAATTCTCAACATCAGCATCATCTCTTGCTCTTTTTAGTTCTTCCTTTTGTTTAACTTGAAGAGTAGTAATTTTCTTTTTCATATTTCTTAAAAACATTTTGCCAGAATGCTTACAAATATTTTGTATAGTGTGAATTTTCTGCTATTGTCTATTATTAGAAAGAGATTGTTAATAGTGCATCAAAATTTTATTTAGTGATTAAAGAAGGTACATAGCCAATTCCTCCTCCAGAATTAGCAGACTTTATCAACAACAAAGCAGGGTGCCTGAATTAAGATCTTGGATTGGTTACCAAGGTTGTTAACTCAGTAATTCTCCTAAGTTAAGACGCACTTACCAGGAGTTACCCTTACTTTGCAAAATAAAAAATGACACACCTTGTTTTTTACTTCAACAAATATTTTCCAACCCAATTGTGATTTTGCTTCTGTTAAAAAGTGATGAAACCAGATAGTATTAAGATTTTCACATTTGTCTGTAGAATTGATTTTTTTTAAGAATAAAGAATAAAGAACAAAAAAAAATATATAGAATAAAAAAAACAAAAAAAATAAATTTGTTAATGATGATAAGAAGGGTGCCTATATATATGTATAAAAGATTTCTGACCAATTTTATGTCATATATCTTGGATTGACATATTGGTACAAATTTAAACTTATTATTAGTCATAGTTAATATGATGGAACTCTGGTTCTTATATGGATTACTAATTAATTATCTTAGCTAAAACAGTATATATAAATATCAGTATATATAAATGAGTCAATATTTTAAATTTGAACCTCTTGCCATTTCTAGTAGTAATTAACAAAGAATACGTAATAATATAATTGTTGTATACTAATATTTTGAATTGACATATTGATACAAATTAAACCTATTATTAGTCATATATTTAATATGATGGAGAATTACATTATTATATTGATAGAATTGTCTAATTAATTATCTTAGCTGAAACAGCATATATAAATAACAGTATATATAAAATATGAGTCAATATTTTAAATTTGACATTTTTAATAGTAATTAACAAAGAACATGTAATAGTATAATATGTTATCCGAAGTGCCATTATCATTACACATCACAGGACATTTGTGAAACTGATACGAATAGTACATAGTCCTTTATCAGCAGGCAAGATTACTAACTATTACTCTATTACATCATATCTTATACAAAGTATATTTCGACCATGAAAATCTCCATGTACATTATACCGCATTTATTAGAATTTGCATAAATATAAAATAAAAATAAGGAGAAAGAATTTTTATTTCTTTTATTGGTAAAATAATTTTTTTTACATATAATACTGATTAAAATTTTTAAGATATGTTTATTTAATTGATTTAATATTAAAAAAAAACAATTCTCATATTTAATTAGTCATATATGGTTTTAGAATTATTATATGGGAAATGACATCAGGGGTTCCAGCAGTATTTTATAATGTTCCTCATGATCTAAATCTTATATATGATATCATATTTGCATAGATCAGAAATTAAGAAGAAACAATGCCTGAATAAGTGAATATGTTAAATTAATGAAAGACGTTTGGAACTTAATGATCCTGAAAAATAGTAAATTAGAATATATTTTTGGATATGGGTGGAAAAATATCCAATCGAAGTAGATGAAACAAAGAAAATACCTATTCCCGGTAATTTAATTTATTTATGGACTAACATTATATGTTTTTTATTATTTACTATATTGTATTAATGAATTAAGAGGCAAAATTTTGTTGATAATAATGATGATGAGTTCGATGTGTAAGAATTATATTTATTACTATTTGCGCCAGAAAACATAATTCCAGATTTTCATTTCTTAAATAATGCTTTTTATTTGAACCCACTCAAACAACTAGCATAAAGTATTTTAATAGGTAATATTTATTTCAAAGTTCAAATAGTAATTTTTTTTAAATTTTTTCTCATAATTATTTACTTTGATTTGACGCCACTTAAAATTATAGATAAAAAAAAAATAAAAAAAAGAAAAAAAAAAATAAACAAAAAAAAAATAAATAAAAAAAAAAAAAAAAAAAAAGAAAAAATAAAAAAAAAAGAAAATAATATAATATAAAAAAAAAAAAAACAAAAAACAAAAATATAAATATAATAAAAAAAATAAAAAAAATAGTAAATAAAAATAAAATAAAATAAATTAAAAAAAAAATAAATAAAATAAAATTAATTAATTTAAAAAAATAAATAAAAAAACAATAAAATAAATAAAACAGGACCCCGAAATATATATGTAGGGGTAAGGTGCATAATTGCGTCGCCATCATAGAAAAATTTTACAGGGTTAAGTATTGATTTGCGTATAACCTGAGGATTTTTTAGCCACGGTCAGACCATTAAAATTCGTATTTTTAACAGGTTTTTGTTTAAGTAAGGGGTTTATTTTGCGTATTTTTAGTAAATTTTGGGTGATCATATATATATATATATATATTTCACGAGATAAATAATTAAAAATAAACATAAACAGCTATTTAGTAAATTTAGTAAAAAAAATGTAACACTTGTTTATATATTTTCACGAGATAAATAATTAAAAATAAACATAACAACTATTTAGAACTATTTAGTAAAAAATATGTAACGCTTGTAACATGTTGATCTAACGATTTATGCAAGATATATCTAAGATATATCTTGCATTATAAATAAAAAATTTTTTCACGTTAATATATTTTTTTTTTTATTAAAAAATATGTCGGGTTGGAAATATAGCTTTGAGAGGCTTTCAAAACATGAATATGTTGCTTGTATTATACATCCCAAGAAAGTAGTATATATTTGTGGTCAAAAAATAAAACTCAACCGTAAATGGGAGAAGGATTATCTTAACCGTCATATTCAACGTTCTGGATGTAAGGCAGATAAAGGGCAAAGGACAATCTATAACTGGTTTAAGCCAATAGAAGTAAAACCAGTAAAACAAGTTGAAGAAGAAGAAGAGGAATATGATTCTGATGTGTACGATAATATGGATGATGATGATCTTATACGAGTTGATGAAGTAAATGAAAATGATCAAAATCAAGAAATTTTAGCAATTAATATTGAAGAGACATCAGATAATACAAGGAATACTAAAAAACAAAAGTTAATTTGTATGGGACTTCAGTCTGAAGAAATATCAAAGTATATTAAGCGAACTCCTGCACAGTTTGGTGGTAGTCGTCGTATTGAAGTAGTTGCACGCGAACTTTTTCCCAATTTATTTTCGCAAAAATTCAGTAGAAAAAAGTTGAATTCTAAGCAAAAAAGACAATTAAATCATGCACTTTTTGCAGAATCCATATGGCAAATCGATCGACCAAGTATGTTTTAATACTTTATATTAAATTAAATCATAAAAATTCCACCAATTTTAAATTATATTCTAATAAATTATCCTTTTATTAATGATTCATTTAAAGGTAATGCAGTACGTGCAAAAGCTTGCACTGGAATTGCTGAAAGTGGAAATATTTGTACTGAATGTTCTTATATTCGATACAACCAAGCTTTGTGCAATAAAATTGCTCGTCCTTTACCATTATCCAGCAATATTAAATTTACCCCAAAACATTATTGGGAAGATAATCCTTTAAAAAGATGTTTAAAGAATTGTGACCTTCGTGACATCTGGAATATACTTAACAATGAATCTGAAAACCAACAAGAAAATCCCTGGATTGCTCTTGCTGACAAAGCTTTGAAAGGTGCCTTTAAAGATAAACCAATATTTACTGGTCTTTGTGAAGTTATGGGTGATGCAATTGAACGAAAAATGAAAAACAAATCCAAAAGAAACTTAAAGTATAGTGATGAATTCACTAGTTTTTTAACTATATTGGGAGGGATTAGTTCAAGAGCTTTGGATTTATTTCGTCAAAATTTAGAAGGTCGGACAATTCAGTCAATTCGGTATAATTATCTATTATTTTATACAAATGTTTTAAATTTTTAGTAATTAATAAAATTCATAATTTATTTAATTGTTATAGGCAATTAAGAAGAAATGATGATGATTATTTGACTAATCCAGAATTATGTTATGAAAATGTAGCTCGTGTTAAAAGATTAATTGATACAGTCAATTATAATGGACCAATTTGTGCAATGACTGATAACACGAAACTTAAGCCACGATTGCGATATTCTCCTAATCTTGGTTGTATTATTGGATCAACGTTATCAAATGAAGAAACAACAGTTAATATATATAATGATATTCCAAAAATAATTAATAATGTTAAATCAGAAAATGGAATTGCAAAAAATGTTCGTGCATATATATTACAAGTATGATATATTTTTTTATTTAAAAATTTTTGTAGCAATATATATCTTTTTTTTTGAAATATCGATGCATTAATCTTTAACAAATTGTATTTTATATATTAGATACCATTATCAAAATTTCCTCCAATAGTTATAGCCTTACTTCCAAATAAAGGGGCTGACACTGCAGATTTAATATTACAATTGCATAAACGATTAATTCTAGAAATCGCACCACAACTCAGTCTCCATATACTTTCCTTAGGTTCTGATGGGGCTATAACAGAATACCAAGCACAACAATAAATTGTCAATATTCAAACAAGTGAAAAATTAACGGTTATAGAACCTCAATTGAAAATTAACTTTTCATGTCCTATTTTTAACTATATTGGTCCTATTATACGTGTCCAAGATCCCAAGCATGCCAAAAAAACAGCAAGGAATGCTATAATGTCTGGAGCACGATTATTAACATTTGGAAATTCATCAGCCCGGTATGATCACTTCTTACAACTTATTAATCAAAACAGTTCCATTTTGTATAAAAATGATGTCATTAAGTTAGATCGTCAAGATGATGCAGCAGCCTATCGAACATTTTGTTCTTCAAATTTTCGCCAATGTTTAACAACCGATTATCAGGTTAAAATTGGAATGGAGGGATTTGCAGTTTATATTTTTATAATAGGTAAAATATCAAGAATATTTATCTGTCATTAATTAATATTACTTTATAATGGCATAATGGTATAACTATGTTAATTACTTTTTATTTATAAAGGT